CTAATGTTGTTCGGTTGAAATCGAATAACTTCGCACCGAAAACGATGAAGTTCGCTGAGACAGCGTTTTGTCGACGAATCCGTTTCGCCCCGGAGACCCGTTTGCTTCGGCGAAATTGTCAACGAATCGTATCAGCGGCGTGAAAAATTAACAGGGAACGATTTCAGTGGCCTCGGCTGGCCGGAAAGCCACCGAAAGTCATTTTTCTTCGCAGCTCTTTACGGGTATCCGCGATTAATTAATCACGGGACGTCGATTTTGTTCAACAGGGGGGTACGATTAATAAAACCGACAGTAACCGTTCGTTATTTAAGACGATCGATTCACCTGGTTCGAAGGCGCCAGGCCAGTGTTTCCCAATCTTTTTAGAATCGCGACCCCCTCCGGTGGTGGTCACGAAGCTTGTACCTCGGTGTACGCTCATAAAAATCGTCACGGCAGGCGCCTTTAATCCCATCCCCGATGGAAATGCCACAGTCGCGATAAAATGCGTAAATTCGCGATCTGCAGAACGGTGGAACCCGTCGCCAAAGTTCTGATTTATCGTTCTGGTAAACGCTTTCGAGCGTGCATACGTAACCGTGCTCCACCCCCGACACGCTAAAAATAGTGAAAGAACGAATTTATACCGCTTTTTTCCTTACCTTACGAGCTTTTCGTCTCTGACTATTAGTTGCAATTGCGGAACTTGATACATTAAATCGTTCGCTGTTTTTATTTGAATATAGAAATACAAAATTGGAAGCAAAACAGAACGTGATGGTCAACTGTTATAATTCCTTATTCGTTTTCGTCAGTAAATTACTTGTTTGAATCTAATAAAAAATTAAAAACAATTATGGTACAACGCGGTATTAAACGCGACAGGGGATGTAAGTCTCACGGCGAAAAGAAGGGAAATTAATGAACCGGAAAATGTTACGCGAAGCGTAGAACGTTGCTGGAAAGAGTTCGACGCTAATTTCACTCGGCCGTTAATGGCCATAATTACAAACCAATAATTAACAGACTGAAGATTAATACATTAGCCAATAGGGGAATTATAGCGACCTCTTTTATTCTAATTTTTTTCGTGAAAAATCCTGACTAGACAAATTACGAGTCTCGTTATTTCTCTGGAAAATCTATTTACGAGATCAAAACGGCAGAACCAGCCAACTTCTCAGGATCCTGTTGCATAAAGCGATTGCCGCTGGTCGCCGTTAATAATTCCTTCCTGGCCAATAGCGTTCGATGTTCAAAATTTATTCGACCCCGTGATTGGGACAGTGTTTCATCGAGACGCGCAGTTTACACGGCATTTATGACGATATTTATGAGGGCATTTGCATCGGTGTAAGCTCGTAAAAATCATCTCGTCGTCGAAGCACAGTGACGGTCGCGTTTAATTCCGTTCGAACGGTAATTCTTTTGGTACCGGCTACTCGGCCAGGCCCATAAACATGCGTAAATTCGCAATTTGGAAAACCGTGTGGCGAGTTGCCGAAACTCTGATTTATCAGCGCGATCGATATCGCCGGGAAAATGTTACACGCTCGATGTAACGAACAACGTTTGTTCACCGTATCGTTGTACAATGGGTCGAATTACCCAAAAGAGCCTCCAAGTGGATAATGGTACCTCGTTCCGCGCAGTCCTTTTTTTTAAAAAACACGCTTTTGTGTTCATAGGACAACAGCCACCAGGATAGCCGATTCCTCGAAACGTTGGAGGACGAGGAAATAGGTATTTCCCCTGTCAACCGAAGATCCGCAAACAGAGCCAGTCAAACTCGAGAAACGACGTCCTTTTGTTTCAATATTTGTTCGAACTCTGCGTGCGTATTTCGAAAGTCACGATCGACCGGGCGAACCGAATGTAAATTAACAGAATTCGATCCAATCTTTACGGAGCATGAGCATTGCACGCAACGAATGTTTATTTATTTACAAGGTAAGTGTGCCCGACTTCAACGACCAAAAAACGAGTATAAAATTTAGACCCTGGCAGCCGCGAACGGGTATCGAAAGACAGTTACCGTCGGCCATCGTGGAAAAATCGCGAAGCAACGGGATACTGGCTGCTCCCAGCGTCGCTTTAAAGCCGCGTAAATTCGCAATCTGTGAAACTACGAAACGAGTCGGCGAAGTTCTGATTCATGGCGCGTCCCTTCGGTCGTACGCGGGACAAGGGAAAAGGAACAGAGCCGGCGTGTGCATGTGTACGAGCCACGGAGGGCGACGGTGGGCGTCGGTCGTCCAAGAAAAATGCGACGTCTCGCGGGCCGCCGCTTCCTCGCAATAACTTCCGAAGGAAAATTCACGATAATAGAGACTACTGCCTGTGAATTCCGCATGCAAATGTGCTTACGGTTCTCCTTTAGCCCCACCCCCTCCTTTCGTTTCCCCACGTTCGCGTTTCCCACCCCTGGCGCGGAGCACCACGTTCTTCGTACTCTCCCTCTCTATTTCTCATGCGGACACACGAACCGCCCGTTTTAACCGGGATTTTCTCTCTTTCTTGCGACCCCAAACGACGTCCGCGGCGAACCGAGGGTCTGAGCTAGACAAATAGTTCCGCCGTGAAATACCGCCGCCTCCTTAAAACTTTAAAGTGTTTCGAGTAATCCTAAGGCGCGACTTTAGATCATGGGGTATACCACCCCCTCCCCCACCCCCCACGAACCATCTTTGCTTCCCTCTTTCGCCGCTGTCAGGGTGTTTCTCGGTTTTCTTTCCGCTCGCTTCCTGAGGGGTGCGCGTGACTCGGCCGCTACCGGTCGAATACAAATGCAAATGCAAATGCACTCGGGGGCTCGCAATATTCCGCCGAGCGTGTGTGTTCGCGCGATCGAGTTAACACCTTCGCTGCCAAACGGATTTCGTGAAATTTTCTTTGCCCAATGCTCTCCGCGTTGTCTCAGAAACCTGCCAGGTCCGACGATCAAAGTTTATCTACGTTGCAGAACCTTTCCATTCAAACTTAATCAGGATATACAGCGTGCTCGGCCACCCCTGGGGAAAAATTTAATGGGAGATTCTAGAGGCCAAAATAAGATGAAAATCAAGAATATCAATAGGCTTCGTTAAAAAGTTATTAACGTTTAAAGTTCCGTTCGTACTGAATTTTTTTCTCGAAAATGCGCAGGAATTTGGGGGTATGTTTTATCAGCAAAAATGATTGTAATCGACCCCCGCAACCGGAAATAATTTTTCCAGAACCATTTGAAACTTTTCATTTTCACCGAAAAATGTAGGCACTCATCGATTTTCCTTAAATATTCGTTTAATTTTTAATAAATTTATTTGTCGCTGTATGGAAATGTTGTCTAATACTTTTTTGTAGGTACCTATGGGCTCTGTTTAAGAAAACAATTTCAATGAGATACGTTCACTATTGTAGGAGTTATGGCCGTTTGAAAATTGGACCAGTTTTATGGAGTTTTTCTCACTTCACGGTGTTAAGAAACAATTATTGGAATTTCTACGTGTTCTTAACCAAAATACGCGTTGTTTGCCGTTTGAAACATTAAAATCCTTCAATCCGTTCAGAAGTTATGATGTTTTAAACATACGCTTGAAATTTCAATGAAACATGGTCAGACATGAAATTGTCGGTAATGAATTTTTTTCTCGAAAATGCGTAGGATTTCGAGGGTATGTCTATTCACCAAAAATGATCATAATTGATCCTTACTCCTAAAAATAATTTTTCCAGAACAATTTCAAATTTTTCAATTTCGCCAAAAATTTGTCCACATTACTGAATTTTTTGTTTGAAAATGCTAAAGATTTCGAAGATATGTGTATTCACCAAAAATAATCAAAATTGACCCTTGCATCTAAAAATAATTTTTCCAGCACAATTTGTCCTGTCGATTTTTCTTAAAAATTCGGTTTTGATTTTTAGTCATTTTGTTTTACACCCTACAGAAAAGTTGTGTAATACTTTTTTGTAGGCACCCATGACCTCTAGTTGACTACTAAATTTCAATGAGATACGTTCACTATTGTAGGAGTTATGGCCGTTTGAAAATTGGACCAGTTTTATGGGGTTTTTCTCACTTCACGGGTTAAAAAACAACTTTTCGAATATTGTTGGAATCTCTACATATTCTTAACCAAAATACACGTTGTTTGCCGTTTGAAACATTAAAATCCTCCAATCCGTTCAGAAGTTACGATGTTTTAAACATACGCATGAAATTTCAGGGAAACATATCAATGTATGGTCAGACATCATATTTTCGGTAATGAATTTTTTTCTCGAAACTGCGTAGGATATCGGCGGTATGTGTAATGACCAAAAATGATTGTAATCGACGCTTGCAACCGAGAATAATTTTTTTAGAACGATTTGAAAAATTTTTTTTGCCGAAAAATTTCAGCATCTACCTGATTTTTTTTCTCGAAAATGGGTAGAATTTCGGGGATATGTGTATTCAATGTATAACTTTGTAACGAAGCCTCAATCAACAAATTGATATTCTTGATTTTCGTCTTATTTTGACCTCCAGAATCTCCTATTAAAATTTTCCCCAGGGGTGGCCGAACATCCTATATGCATAGACTCACGAAAGTATTCACACGATGATATATTTCTAATTAAAATTGACACAAACCGTGCGGAATATTAAATATTTTGAAATTGTACATATCGTGTATGGGGAATACCTGAGAATAACATATAAAAGTTGAATTGAAATTAAGTAATATCCAAATTAGAAAGATTTTGATAGTTTTTTTTCATACCGTAGATCACAAAAGTATTCTAATAAATCTTTCTAAGTCGGATACGTGTTACTTAATTTCAATGCAATTTTTACATGTTATTCTAACCTATTCCCCATGCACAATATTACGACAATTTCAAAATATTTAATATACCGTACGGTTTGCGTCAGTTTCAATTAGGAATACATCATCGTTCGAATACTGTCGCTTTGTGTAGGTACGCGGAAAAAGGTAAACAGAAATTGTCCAGCGAAGGTAACGGTTAAAAACGAAATTTCAAACGCTAACCTGGCTCGACGATCAGCATTACAGTGTCCGTTCGTCCTTCCGTCGGCCTGCACGAATATTTTCCGACGTCGTTTAGCGTGACCGACGCCAAAGTCAATTCGGAGACCGTGCGCGCCGCGCCTCTTTCAGTCTCCACGTTTATTCCGCCCCGTGCAGCCTGTAAATAATGCAACCGGCAAATACAATGTAAAATTCCATAGTTTGTTCGACGAGCCCGTCACCGACAAACTTTTTTTCCCCGACGCCGGGCACGGCGAGTGTTTACAATTAATACCGCTTCATCTGTAAAATATACATCGTTCCGCCGCCGCCCGTCGCGTGTTGATCATGCAAATATTACGATCGAAAACCATCGCGAGGGGACCATGGAAAGTTAAATATAAATATCCGGGAACGTTAACGGTTCGTAATTTCATAATAAATCGCTAGGCGAATGAATCGAGACGAGACCCGCGGATAAATTTTCAGTATCGGTCGATATCGCGAACCCCTATCTGAACCGAGAACGTTTTTCATTCTGGTCGAATGGAATTCGACCGTGCACCAATAATTACCACAATCTGCGTGCTCCGTACGGAATTATTGTTATCGTCAACGCGGGCGTCGCGAGATTCCGTGTAAATTAATCCACAACCGGATAGCACAAGATTTGGTTTATAGTTCAAGTGAACCGGAACTGGGAAACTTGCCTTAACAGTTTGAGTGCCAGGCAGCGCGATCCCGTGTTCCCCGTTTAGTGCCAAAACGTGCCGACGATAGAGATGTGCAGATATCCGATATTACGGGACTCGGACGATGTCGAAATAAAATCGTCAAAATTTAGGCCAGCTCTATTCGAGAATGAAAGAAAACCGGAACGATACGGTAAGGCGGAATCGAGATTTCGTTCCGAGAGGGAGAAAACAGTTACGAAGCCATGAATAAAAAAAAGTTTAATTAGCGTCTAGAGATGGGGATCAAGTTCAATACACGAAACCGAGTCAACTTCGATAACTATGCTTCCCAGGTTTCGAATACTACTCGGAATAATTATATAAAGTGTATTTGTTCTAGGGAATGAGTTCTTGCAAGTTTCGAAAAGGTACTTGTAAGTACTTCGACGTTATGGATATTCGAACCTTTTGTAAGTAGTACTCGAATCTTCTAAATCAGAATTTTGTAACAGGTTTTAAGTAAGATATTTGATAGCTGAATTTACAACTATTTATAAATATATTTGCAATACTTGGTTTTAACCTATTTCTTTTTTATTTATAATATACCCTGCTTTTGGAGAAGACTCTTTTCGAGGGTACAGACATGCTGATATAAAAATCGAACACATTATAAAACTATAGTTACATAATTATATGTACATACATATAATATTTATGAAGGTTTCGATTCTATTCGATGAAGATTCGAATATGTTTGAAAGTACTGTTTTCTTTTTACCAAAATGGAGGGTTCTCAATGAAAAACTTAGAGAATGATCGAGTCTACCTCACAGAAGTTCGAGTATACTTGCAATTTCAAAGTAACAAACTGGGAAAATCATAGAGTTTCTAATATAATATTTATGATAGTTTCGATGAAGATTCGATAAAGATTCGAACATGTTTGAAAGTACTGTTTTCTTTTTACCAAAATGGAGGGCTCTCAATCAAAAACTTAGAGAGGGTTCGAGTCTACATCCCAGAGGTTCGAGTATACTTGCAATTTCGAAGTAACAAACTAGGAAAATCATAGAATTTCTAATATAATATTTATGTTAGTTTCGATGAAGATTCGATAAAGATTCAAATATATTTGAAAGTAATGTTTTCTTTTTACCAAAATGGAGGGTTCTCAATCAAAAACTTAGAGAATGATCGAGTCTACCTCACAGAAGTTCGAGTATACTTGCAATTTCAAAGTAACAAACTGGGAAAATCATAGAGTTTCTAATATAATATTTATGATAGTTTCGATGAAGATTCGATAAAGATTCGAACATGTTTGAAAGTACTGTTTTCTTTTTACCTAAATGGAGGGTTCTCAAGCAATAACTTAGGGAGGGTTCGAGTCTACCTCACAGAGGTTCGAGTATACGTGCAATTTCGAAGTAACAAACTGGGAAAACCATAGAATTTCAAATATAAATTTTATGAAAGTTTCGATGAAGATTCAAATATATTTGATAGTACTGTTTTCTTTTCACCGAAATAGAGGGCTCTCAATCAAAAACTTAGAGAGGGTTCGAGTCTAGCTCACAGAGGTTTGAGTATACTTGCAATTTCAAAGTAACAAACTGGGAGAATCATAGAATTTCTAATATAATATTTATGAAAGTTTCGATGAAGATTTGAATATATTTGAAAATACTGTTTTCTTTTTACCAAAATAGAGGGCTCTCAATTAAAAACTTAGAGAAGGTCTACCTCACAGAGGATCGAGTATACTTGCAATTTCAAAGCAACAAACTGGAAGAATCATAGAATTTCTAATATAATATTTATCAAGATTTCGATTCTATTCGATAAAGATTCGAATATATTTGAAAGTACTGTTTTCTTTTTACCAAAATGGAGGGTTCTCAATCAAAAACTTAGAGAATGATCGAGTCTACCTCACAGAAGTTCGAGTATACTTGCAATTTCAAAGTAACAAACTGGGAAAATCATAGAGTTTCTAATATAATATTTATGATAGTTTCGATGAAGATTCGATAAAGATTCGAATATATTTGAAAGTACTGTTTTCTTTTTACCAAAATGGAGGGCTCTCAATCAAAAACTTACAGAGGGTTCGAGTCTACCTCCCAGAAGTTCGAGTATACTTGCAATTTCGAAGTAACAAACTGGGAAAATCATAGAGTTTCTAATATAATATTTATGATAGTTTCGATGAAGATTCGATAAAGATTCGAACATGTTTGAAAGTACTGTTTTCTTTTTACCAAAATGGAGGGCTCTCAATCAAAAACTTACAGAGGTTTCGAGTCTACCTCCCAGAAGTTCGAGTATACTTGCAATTTCGAAGTAACAAACTAGGAAAATCATAGAATTTCTAATATAATATTTATGAAAGTTTCGATGGAGATTCGATAAAGATTCAAATATATTTGAAAGTAATGTTTTCTTTTTACCAAAATGGAGGGTTCTCAATCAAAAACTTAGAGAATGATCGAGTCTACCTCACAGAAGTTCGAGTATACTTGCAATTTCAAAGTAACAAACTGAGAAAATCATAGAGTTTCTAATATAATATTTATGATAGTTTCGATGAAGATTCGATAAAGATTCGAACATGTTTGAAAGTACTGTTTTCTTTTTACTAAAATGGAGGGCTCTCAATCAAAAACTTAGAGAGGGTTCGAGTCTAGCTCACAGAGGTTTGAGTATACTTGCAATTTCAAAGTAACAAACTGGGAGAATCATAGAATTTCTAATATAATATTTAAGAAAGTTTCGATGAAGATTCGAATATATTTGAAAATACTGTTTTCTTTTTACCAAAATGGAGGGTTTCCCAATCAAAAACTTAAAGAATGTTCGAGTCTACCTCCTAGAGGTTCGAGTATATTTGCAATGTACTTGATCCCAGCCCTGTTAGAGTCGCTCCAAGGGAAAGGGAGGGGTGTATAATAGAAATTACCTGGAATGTGAGGAGTTTGTTATCCCGTAGCCACTGCACGCCCCGGATGGGTCGAGTCTGATACGGGGACAATATGACGCACCTCAAGGTGATCGTCGACCCCGACGGCACGCTTTGCTCCCGAGGACCCATTATGGCCGCCACTGGCGCCGTGCTCTCATAACCTGCAACCCATGTACGGACAAATATCATACGACAACCGACGCAGTCTACCAGCGAGATTAAACGGGCTTAAGGCGATGTTAAATAGTTTCTCGACGCACGTTGTTCGTCAAGCTCGTCGTATCAGTCCCTTCTCGCCTCTTTAGACCTCCCGTGGCTGTTACCGTGCCACGGTGCACGGAGATATGTTATTGTAGCAAACAGCTTCCAGTTTTCGACTGGTTCGTTTGACTGTTTGCGAGGCCTCGTGGGCTAGATTGTCGGTAATGTAGAATCATTAGACCCCGAGCGTGGTTATTACCGCTGGCAAACATTTCACTCGGTTTCTAAACACTTGCCCTTCCAATTAGTTGGCGACTATTTGCGTTCGATCCTTTTGAGAAACGAGCCGGTTAAAAAATGATCAATTTGTAAACATTCGAGTATAGATGAAACATCATCAAAGATAAATACACATGGTTTACCACGAGCACGATGAGAAATTTATGCCTGGAAATATACGGGGAAAATTGAAAATCGATTGATAAAGATAGTCCTTAAAATCTCCCTTAAAAGTGAAAGAGTACAGTTTTGAAATAGTACTTGAAAGCGTAAACGCTCACAGCGCGTGAACATCAAACCGAAGGTACCCATTTGATGCAAAGAGATGCTCGGTATCTGTGCGTCTGTGTGATCAGGAGAGTGGAGTGCGGTAGGTCAAGCGAGAATCAGTTGGGGTCAAAAAGTCATTGAATCGGGATCAGAGAACCGAGCGGTGAGGAGGAGGAACGAAGGGCAAGAAATTACTTCGGAGAGTTTATTTAAATTTCATCGTGAGTTTTCAGTGGCGGTAGAGCTCTAGTCGTATTATATTGTCGCGAACTGTATTTAACCAGGTGCAGCGTTTGTCTGTCTACGGTGGAGAGCAAGGGGTAACGAAATCTTTAAAACAATTTCTTGCCTCGGTGTCGTTATACGCGTTCGCAACGAGCGGAACAAACGGGTCGCACGAAAGTGTTTCTACCGAGCTCGTCGACACAAATAAATAAATCACACTCGGATGCCTGAAGCGACGTTAAGCAGCTCGTAGAGTCGAGGGTCCGAAAAGTAATTACACGGCGTGCACCGGGCGACAGAAGGTGGTAAATCCATTTTACGTTCGGTGTAGTTGGGAGAGTGGGTTCGTTAGCGGGCGTATATACGAATAGACGAGGTCAAGTTTCGCGAATCGGCCGCGATCAATGGAGATTCCTTGGTTCCCTCGATGACTTCATTAGAAGACCGGGGGGGTTTCGTTCCTTGGTCTTGCTGATTAAAACACCCCTCGAGGCGAATTAATTACGTTCCACGGGCAGAAATATTACCGGGCGTAAGTTCAAAAAGCCGCGGAACGATCGACCGTCTCCGGGAAAACGAACTTTTCCACAACTTTTTAATTGACAGCGCCAGCCGGCCTGACGTATCGCGAACGTTTCGTAATTGACGTAATCCGTTCTCGGTTTTAGTATCCCCCCTGACAAAGCATCGGCGCGTAACCGTCCTACGGATGGATAAGGGTCGGCCCCGACAGCGGCAGGGCCGCTTTAATGTTACGCAATAATTTTAATTAATGCGAGCCGCGCGAAAGGAAACGTATTTCCCGCCGTTTCAGCGGGAAAAGAACGCGGCACGTACGCGGGACGTACAGTCAAGTTTGTACGTTTTAATTTAGAGGAACGGTCCAAGTACTCGTTTAATATGCGTGCCGCCGTGAAACGACGCGTTCTTCTTTCACCGTAAAAACGTTTTGTACGCTCCAGTTCGCGCTCGAAATCGAACCGCGCGACTTCTTCCTCTTCCACTCCTTTCTCTTTAACAAGGAGAGATCCCACCGCGTAACACTCGCTTTTCGATCAGCTTCTCCACAATCGCCAGGTGTTAAAGCATCGAAGCTAATGGCACGCGGTTTTTAGGGCGGAAGGATTTTTCTTCGCGAGTTATTTGAGGTCAGAAATAAAGTCTACCCAAGAAACGAAATATTGGTGTTGGCAAGAAAGTAATTTCAGTTTTGTAAGGTGAAATACAATTTATTTATACAAAGAATAAACTTCGATCGATCACGTATTTTCCTTTTTGTTCGATCACCTTTTATCATCTTGCAGTTTCATAATTCCACGGTTCAGAAAAATTTTGGTCCTTATCGGCAAAAAACTAAGTTAGAATATTTTCTAGTCAACCCAATATTTCGATAGAATTTCCTGAATTCGAGAACAACTATTTCGTAGCCGCGAGAGACGGCAGAGTGGAAGAAGTCTGAAAAATCTTTGGTCGAGCGGGTCAAAGGTCGAGCGACGCCCCAAAGAGATCACAATTACGATTCACTTACCGTGAGTCGAGCCTTAAGTCTGGTCGGTATATTAAAACGGGACCCATTTCTCCGGATCGCGGGCGGGACGTGAACGGGGGGGGGGAGTTAGTCCGCGGAGAAGAAAGGCGAGAAAAGAGTAGAAAAAGTGAAAAGCTGCTCGTCGGTTGGTTGCTCCGGGTAGCGAGATCCTCGTCCGGAAATTGGAGTTTCAAGTGTGAACAAACGAAAGAGGAGCCCCCGACGTCGCGTTCTTGAGACAAGGACGCGCGGCCTAATAATTCATTAGGAGCGAAAGGGACAAACAACGGGGCGCCGGGAAGCGTGCGCTACATGGACGTTCCATAGCACATGATAATGCCGGGACAAGCATACATTATTCAACGAGAGAAGCGCGGTCGGGACTCGTTTAACGCCACGTTGTCTTCGACCTGAGCTCTACGGAGGCGCGGTTATGCCCGCGGTCGGCTGACGAGTAAAAAGACCCTGGAACGGAGGAGGTTTTCCAGGACTACCGGGATTAAGGATAATCCTATTAGACTCGAATTAATCCCGCGGGAACTGCATTTCTCCGGGGCGAAATATTACGTTATGCTGTTATTACTGTTCGCGACGCGGCAGCCTGTTCTCGCTTTTTCTCCAGCCTAACGTTCCATTCGTGATTATCGACCCAATACGCTGACAATAACTGTTACGACAAATATTCGAATGGTTTACAAATGTTGCTCGTGGTCAGAAGTTGCTCAGAAGTTGTTGCTTCTGACACGCAGAAATGACTTCTTGCGGAGACTAACTATTGAAGATGTTACTCTGTCGAAGTTAATCTGCCTCTTCGCCCTGATTTTCCCCATAGAGAAACCTCGGTTTTCCCTGCCAAGGTGGCAACGACGAACATTGCCTACTGGAGGGAAGATTGGTCAAGCCAATCCTCATCATCGTCACCTTGGCAGGGCGGTTCCTAACAAGTTGCAACATTCCCACCCACTCTGCCGTCCAGTGTCCAGGTAGACCATGCAGGAGTGAGCGAGAAAGCTGCATTGTTATTAACTTTTGGGAAATGCCCAACAACCGCGAGACCCTGGTGGTCCGCAGCTGTGCCCTAACGCGGGTTCACGATACGTCAATCGCTATTGAGGCAAGGAAATGCTTCAGAGATTCAAAGTCCTGTGTGGAGTTTGGAGGTTCCTTAATGACCGTATCCTAATTTATCAAGTAAAAATGTCTTGAAAAATAGCGGAGAAGTCACGTCCGTATCACAAACCCGCTCACTGTACCGACCCTCAGCAATAACGTACAATTGTTTTGGAACGACGAAGTTGCAAGGATTATCGAGGATGGTTAGAGGCGTATGGTCGGATTCAAACACGTGGACAATAAACGTAACTATATAAACTATATTATTTAATATTTACTGAAACTATTCAACATAAAGAACTTAAAACGTAAAAAACCATAAACGTAAAACTGTGACTGCTCTCGACTAGCGTTCGATGATGAGGGACGTTCTTGCAGTCAAAGTCGAACCTTCCTTATTGTTTAATCCGAACTTGAAGTGGTAACGATTCGAATCTTCTAAATTGTACGTGGTGTGCCGACTAAAATTAAGCTCGAAGGACCACCCCTTTTTCAGGGGACTAACGAGACTAACTGAGGTTTCGTGTTCTATTTCAAACTCAACAAGAATATGCACGTGACCGCGATTATACACAGACTATCGAAGGCTAGGAGGTGGTTTGGTTCTATGCTAAAACCAAAGTGTTTGGATGTCAAAAACGAAGTGACCACGGTCCAAACACATGCACTTCTCACAAAGTCAAGAACGACAGAAAACTCTAGAGCAGTGGTTCCTAATCTGTGGTCCACGAAACCTAGAAGAATCGTAAATAGATATCTGTGGATCCCTGAACTTGCAGATAGAAATGTTAAATACAGTAAGGAGCAAAACTGAACACACATACGACATTTTAACAAAAATAATTTTCTATTCAATATTTGCATGTAGATTACAAAAATGAAAAAATACTACAATCCCCTGGCTTTTCAAAACAAATTTAACATTTGTGACACCATTATTATTTCGTTTTCTACAATTTTTTTTTCGAAATAACATTTCGGATTTTTGTATATTTAATATTTCGTCCATAAACCTTTAACTGTACTAAACACTTTTAATACAGTCAGGAGACGTTAGAAAGAACCCGATAAAATTTTCCCTAGAGATTATAGAATTGCATTTTCCGTGACATATTTCCATTCGAAATCTCTCTGCTTATTTTCACGTCGATTTAATATCGTTTGTAATTTCGTGACTGTTCGAAGAGCGCTGGGAAGACTTTCAGCCGGAGTTAGAAGCAATAAAGAAAAGGTCCAGAAATCTCGCGTCTCGAGGATGAAATGATGGAAGTTGGAAAGAATTATGAAGCGTCTAGAGGGATGCTGCAAGAAGAATCGACGACAGATACCGGCCGTCAAAGCCAGCGAGGAAGCGCACTTATCCTTAAGTGATTGATGTCGGCTGGATCCGGCGAAGGAATAAAAAGCGTCTGTCGGATGATTTTTTAACAGACCGACGGTGTATAAAAGTGTCGCTACATTCTATCTCGTACCGGAGAAATACATAAATCTCCATTAACTTGGCGTATTTATAAATAAGAAATCGCGCGATCGAATTTTGAACGCTTATCGTGCATCGAACCTGTCGCCATGTTATTTATCACGAACGTAAAACTGGAGAATTAATTACAGCGCGTGCATTCTTTTTCGCTTGCAGTGTGCTCGCTCTAACAGCTTTGAATGGTACAACGCAGACGACACTAATTAACCGCTTCAAAACGGAAATTTAAGTATCGTCCTGAAAACGGCGGAATACATTCCGCGCGCCGGGGAGTATGCAAATTTAGAAACAAAGTTACGCGGCGATATATCTGCGAAGCTTTCGTAGGGACTATCGTAGGGAACAACAGAAATATGTAATAATTCGTTCGTCGAGAAGTTCGCTCGAAACCGGCGGAACGGCCAACAGCGTGCGTTCTGCTATACCTCGTAAAACTCGTGCGTAATTAAGACTCAAAAATTAATTCGCCCGGCGCTTGAAATCCCAGAATAAGTAGCGAGCCGCGCCTCAAGTGTCATGGATTAGGAATTTAACAGAGATTACGCACCGTCGAAAAATTCTATTCCCTGGAAACTTGGCCCGAAACTCTGCGAGCTGCCTAACAATATTCTCGAACTAAAAGTAGTATTTATATACGATAGAAGAGACAAATTGCACAGTATTAGTCAATCGTCTATAACGCCACGCGTAGCACGCGCAAAGAGTATTTCATTACGATCGTCGACTAACCACGCGTCTAAAAATGGCGAAAACCGTCGGTGAGTCTGTACGGTGAAAAAGGCGAGATTAATTCCCGTGAGTAGCTGACACGGAAAAACTTTCGATGAAGTTTTGATTGCATTCCTGACGTATGTATGCTCGTATGTATGTCTGCGCGCTGTCGGTACGCGTCGAAAAATTTGCAATAAAACGCCGGGAATGAACGACGATCCATCGCTAGATTTTGATTGAAAACATTTTTTAATCATCCCCCGGAACCTATAAAAATATACAATAGTGGAATTGTTTAGTTTCGCGCGTTGGAACTTTCCTACCGCTGGACGGGTTTATATTTTATCGCGATTCCGGCACAAAATTCTTTCGTTTCTCGTCAATACGTTCGAGCCGATCGTCAAATGTGAAGTAAAAAGTATATACACAGGCTCGTGAAAATATTCGAACGATGATATACAGGGTGTCCCAGCATCGGTGGTACAAGCAGAAAGAGGGGGATCGAGCGCTTGTGAGAACGCGACCCCTCTGGTGGCGAGCATGGGAGGCGATGTCATTGTCGAGAAAATTAATTGTAAATTGAACTCGATACAAATGGCACCAATATCATTAGTATCAACGTGATGTACTGTGTTTCCTCTGTTGATGGATTTAAAGTAGATTTGAATGAAAATGAGGTATGTAATCTACTTATTAAACTAACTTAATTCATACAAAAATTGTTAAAAATTGTCCATTGTGCTACATATACTCTTTAAATTAGATTTGTATGAACTAATGGATTCTACTATATTCTGTATCTTCAATTCTTCTTATACTCGTTTGTTTTAACATGACCCCATTCATACAAATCAAGGAGTGTTAAATATGGGGGCCATGACTAGTCAAAATTGAAGATAATAACAGACTAAGACAACAAATAAAATTATGATACGTGCTCAGGAAATCATGTCAAGTTATTTTATTTTATTCTTTATTTTCAATTTGTTTTTTTCATGTAGAATCACCTCCTCTCCGGTTGTACCATCGATGCTGAGACACCCTGTATTTCTAATCGAAAATTACACAAACCGTAGTTATTCAATAGTAAACAATGTAACGAAAATGTTGGAACATTGGATATGTTTTAAAATTTTCTTTGAGAACCACGCAAACTGATTGACCAACCGAATTTCAAAGCCGTTTGAAAAATGACTCGTAATTAAATCATATGTCGAGAGGTTGGATTTATTTCGGGTAGCAACCAATCAACGGCAAAGATGTGCTACAATTAAGCTAAGGGAACGTTCGTACGAATGTACAACTGGCCAGAAATAAGCCTTTGACTACACGGTGCGCACTTACTTATACGCGTCTGTTGAGAATGCGGCTCGTCGTAACCCTCCGGCTTGTCGGGATCTAAAAGCAAAAGTGCAACAGTCGGTCATCAAAACGCAATTTGTCATACACGGTCGCGAACTGCTTAACAGATAAATAACTTTTCAAATTGCCCGAGGAACCTAACCGTTTATTCCCCTTCGCGTTCGCTTCGCGACAGTGTTCGAAATCTTAACGACTCCATTACGAAACGAGAAGCATCGTACAATTTACGATCTACGATCGCGATGATTTTTTCAACGGAATAGCAGCGCGTTTTATTCATTCGGAAAAAAAAGTTTGTTCGGATTTGAAATGTTTGCTCTCCGCGAACAGTGATTATTAAAGTTATTAAACGAGGAACGATTTAAAAGCAATTAAATTTAATGGGTGGATTTGAATAAAGGAGGGAAGATAAATAGCAATTACCTCGCACGGACAGCTGAACAGCATACATCATCTTGGGCTCGGTGTTCACTTGGCACTCGTACTTGCCCGAGTCAGTCTTCCTCGCGTTGTCCAGCCTGAGGGTCCACGCGTCGCTTCCTGGTGTGTGCTGTGGCCCGAACCTCGCGTCCGAGCTGAACGGCATGTTCGCGGACGTGAGGATGTGTAGGTCCTTGCTTCTCATCCAGGACACCTGAGAACACGAACGATGGATGTTGAAATTACCGCGGGTGTAATGAAATTACTTGGACTTTATCCTCTCTGACAACACGAACCTCGAGGCGGGCAAATATTTTACAATATTAAGCTTACGAGTGGACGAGAGTGTTAAATTCTTCTATAATTAATCACAATCTTTACTAGGTAGAACGCAAGTCGATACGATTAAAAAAAACTCAAGTTAAAACGTGCTGTTGCGAAGTCTCCTTTTGCAGTCGCGACGATCTTGATTCTTTCCGAGGTTTCAAAATAAATTGGTTTTGTTTACATTTCACGCGTCTTATAGAATCGTACAATCTTCCTGTTATCTAATGGACTCGTTGCGAAAGTTGACAGATGTTATTTACGACTACGTACGCGATTCGTCCCCTTAAAACCGAAGGCAGAGGAATGCACACTTGCGGTCAGTAAATCAGCGCTCTATTATGACTTATTTTCCTCCCGTTACAATTACTTTACACGGTCGTGCACGTCGAGTCGATCAGACGTAGTTGTCGCTTTGGAACGTGACGAAATATGTCTAATTTTTTAATAAGTACAATACAACTGCTTTTCATATGATATATGTTCTCGGTTTCTGTACAATTTTCTAACTGTCCTTGTACAAGTTGTCGTCGTAAATACTGTTTGGAGTCAGCTGATCTCAATCAGAATAGCTCCACGCTTCTGTGGCGTCGCCTCCCATGCTCGCCGCCAGAGGGCTCGCGCTCTCACAAGCGCTCGACCAACCCCTCGGTTGCTACACTCCTTAAACGACTTCCCAATATCCCAGTCATCTAAGGCAGAAACGCGCCCCCTCCATTCCTTTTCTGCCCTACGATTCTCACGAGTTCCACACCCGCAACGAGGCAGCGCCACACTTCGATAGTAAAGCTTATAAACAGATTTTAAACGGCCGCCTTTGGCGAACCGAACAAACCTTTGAAATTAATATTTCGCATCGCAACACCCGCGTTACGAGGGCTGTGGTACAGAACACAGTAACATGTTACGACATCGTTACTCCACGACCGAGATAAAGGATAGAGACTGTTAAAAGAAAATTCGGCTAAGAGGGGAAAGAGTGGCGGAACGGACGAAGGTGGAATTTAATGGACCGACAAGAGATAATCACCGTTTTCACAGAAATAAGAGGGAAATTTGAGATTTCTGGCGTCGAAGCCAGAATTAAGAAGGTACATAGCAGCTGGAAAAAATGTATTTGCACGGTTTATTTTTAACGTAAACGGAAAACTAGACGCGTTAATAATTTCGTTTTCACCGGCTTCGGTAAAAGTACGAGTATCCAGCGGGTTCGGTGTTTTATGTCCCCTTAAGGAGAAACGGTGGCAAGTTGATATTTATGCAGTTATAATTTTATTAGGCGCGAGCTCGCCGGCCGGAGGTAAACTATTTTTATCGTTGCAACTATTCGCCGAGTAATTTAAACGCCGGTCCAGTTAATATACGGCGCAATTATTCTTTCTTGGCGCCGGACAATAAAATTCACGATTTTCTTATGTCACTGGCAAGCGTCGTTAATAAAACGCAGCAACCAACTCCGGGCCGGCGGCTCCGTGTTCCCGTAGTTAGAGGCACCTTTGACATATCTTATTGCTCCGGGCTAAATAATTAATCCCCATCTCCCACTTCTGCACCCGTAGACGAGGAGGGGGTGGGGTAATGGGAGTTTACCGATTACTCAGTTAAATTCACGAGTTTCTCAACCGGTGTACTATTCCCTGCTACCCCGGTAGCTTGATTCATCAATTCTTACAAGTTTTCTTCCCCCCTCGCGTCTTTCGGCCGAGGAATTTAATCCTTAATTCCCTGCGCACAGTTTACTTTACGACGATCGTTTCATTGGCGAGTTTGTTTTAATTTTGATCGATGGCCCCAATGGGTTTGCCTTGGCTTCCCGAAACCACATAAAAATTATCGATCTTCGTCGTTTCTATCGCGTTGTAATACAATTTTACGTCGGTGGAATACTAGTAAACTAACAGAGAATTAAGATGATTTAACAAAATTGGTATCGACGAAATTTCAAGAAAATAGTGACGAAGGTGGCCAGAAATGCACCGTATGTCGGCGAAGCGACGATTCGCTGGAAGCAAAGTTTAAAAACGCGTTTGCGTCAAGCTGCTCCCGTGCATGCATAATTCCCTGTGTTAATTCATTCCCTTTCAGAGTTTCGTTCGTCATGTAATGAGCAAAGGTTTGCGCGACCCTCGCAAAGACGAGTGTGCACACCCAACTGCTGCGACTCTTCAAAAAGGCGAGCCACCTTCCTCGTTACGATTAAATATTTCCCCGGCGACCTTAAGGGCGAGTCTGCAACACGGCCCGAGGGAAAAAGGATCGACGTGAGGAGGGACACGCCGGTCGAATATGGTTAGTTGGACACTGGGCTTATCCGATCGGTCGTAATTTTTTCGTCGACGAGCCGAACGGCGGAATATTAGACGCCTGGTTATCGGGTTACAGTCACTTCCGATCAGCGTCCCACTCGCCGTTCACCTATCGATCGTTCGAGAGTGCAAAATCGGAATCGCCGCGAAAACGAGAGAAAACGATCGCCGGCGAGATGATTTGTTGGAAGAGGGTATCGAGAACTCTTCGAAGCGGTGGCATGGACGCGATATCTAAATTACAATCGTTCCGTGGGCTGTCCCGCGATTTTTAATAATGTCCTAATACCTAACCGGCGGAATCGAGGCGGTTCCCGCGACGTCTCGCCCCGGCTACCGACAGGAGGACGCGATAATCCCCGGAAGAAAAAGATGAGATACTGCTTGTTGCCTCCGACACTTTCAGCCAACCCATAGATTTATCGTCGTTATTAAGAGAACCGCCGCGATACGGGAACCGTGTCTGTCCGCGCGAGAACATTATTCAAAAGCGAACAAAAGAAGTCCGGATTAATCGGTAATTAAATCGACGCCGGGCTACCGTAACGTTCGCCGTAGCCGTCGATGAACTTACATTTAAGAACGACGCTTTAAAATTAATTTAATTTTTGTACCGTTGCTCTTAGCTTCGGAGGAGAAGTTTTCTGGTCGGAGCAAACAGGTTCTCGAAGCATAGGGGCAATAAGGCCTTTGAAAATAGGTTAGATTCCCCGGCAATAAAGTGAAACAATTGCTGGAACCGAAGAGGACCAGCGCGATATCGGCGTTAGACGTAACGAGAAGAGAATCCGGGCGCCGCGTGCGGCTGATTTATACAATAATAACGTAAGCAGCACACGGCGTAGCGTAATGGTCCACGGCGTTACGGCGAAGGTCATAACGTTAGGGGTGAGAAGAATGTACGGCATGGCGGGTCCCCCCGGCCGGTGTATCACGGCATTTGGTCGTATGCCAGTTTACTCGAGTATACGTCGGATGGCACCGAAATAGAACTGGCTTTGAGGTCGCGGTGGAGAGGAGCGAGAAAACGGAAAAGACGGAAAAAGCGTCGCGGAGCTTCCTCTGGGGGGGGTGTGCGCGCGCGGAGAGTCGTCGCGGGGAGACAAAAGAATGGCAATATACGGTGCCCCGGCATAACCGCTTTCATCTGCTACGTCGACACAGTCTGCCGGATAAAAATGCAACTCCTAGCAAGTCGTTTCGCCGCAACCTTACGAGCCTCGCTGCTCGTTCCGCGCGTCCTCCTCGAGCGGCTACGTTATGCGCGCCATTCCGACGCTCGCGCCATCCCCCCCCAGGCCCGGGGAAATCGAGCGTGTACACGCGACGCCTCGCGTCGTCGAGCGTTTCTTAAATTAGACGCTTCCGTGTCTCGGGTAGCCGCGCCACCGATCTGACCAAATTTTGGATTCCCTCGAAAACCACGCTCTGACGTCGCCTTTCGGGAGAAATGAATTCTTTCCGAGGAAATCCTTCCCCATCGGGGACGGTTTTGAATGCCACTCTGGGCTCGTTGCGACGCTACATCTGCTGTTCCAAAAGGTTCCCACGCGAGATCTTTCTTATTTATAATATACACTCGCGTCGGCATTTACAGTAAGGAGCAAAACAGACCAGATATACGACATTTTATAAAAAATAATTTTTTATTCAATATTCGCATGTGGAATACAAAATACGTAGTATTATTTACAATCTTCTGGCTTTTCAAAACAAATTTAATATTAACACTTAATATTTTGTTTATAAACCTTCAAGGGGCCTTTCTACATTGTGGGATTTTACAAACCGAATTTTTTTTTGCATTTTCTTTTAGTATGTAGTCTCGAAAATATATCTACCAAATATTAAATTGAAAAACTTTAAAGCTGTTTTTCTCGAAACTACATTTTTCGGCACTGCGTATGTGATAACAGAAAAACTATTCAATATATCAACAGGAAATTTATACTGTATCTTTAGAACTAGTCTCCCTATAACATGAACTAGGATAATTGCGATATCTGCAATACTTTTTCTTTTATTAACAAAAAGGCAGCCGAATATATGAAAATATTCAGTATTTTTTCGTAAAATAGCTGCCATTTTTCCATTTTTTGTTCTTTTGAAAAGATCCTAGTTCATGCTATGACCACACTCATCTATATTAAGAATATCGTTGGTTTTTGGATTTCGGATAACTTGTTCGTAACATATCACATACGTAGTCGGGCGCCGTTCCTAGAAACTGTTGTTTGTTGATCAACAAAAACAGCGTAATCAATAGATATTATGCGTTGCAAAAATTCGTAAATATAGCTAAATATATAATAAATGTGTCTACAAAGCACGGAATTAATAGCTCTTTAATAGCCCGCAAAAAAAATCACAAAGAAACATGTATTTTTCGTGCCTACAAGGTAGAATGGCCCCTTAACCTTGATAATTGCTTCAATACGTTTATACATTCTTAATACTACATTTTCGTAATACTCTGGTGTAATAGAATACCATTGTTCTTGCACTCTTTCCCACAAATCAGTTATCGTTGTTGGAGTTCTATATTTATTTTCTAACAAAAAGAAAAAGATACATGAAATGCAAA